GTAAGAGTCCAACTTACCACAGACGCTTTGGGCATGGACTTTCCTTTTTTCATATACATGTACATGTATGTTTACAGTAAATGTTCTTTAAATCAACTTATTTGACTCTTTCCTAAAAAAAAAAAACGTTATAAGAGGAAAATAATTTTAAAACACTGAAGAAATTTTACTATAAATATGTATATCCGTATATAAATTTAAAATAAATTAGCGTCCATGTCCACTTTAAATGGTATAAATATACAGGTCAAGACCAATATCTGCAATATTGAACTGATATTGTACTTAATCAAGATAAGTCATACTATCCGTGACTTTAATCTTTAGTATTTATCTTAACGTGACCCATCCGTATAGATAAATATTAATTCAAACAAGCAAATAAATAGGAAACAAGGGAAACAACTACTTTAAAATTGTTTTCAACGACTGCGATAATTCTTTAGTACTATATATTTGTATAACTTGTGTTTTTTGTTTTCAAACCATTATTTCAGCGTTTAGCACTTTTTCTGCACTGATATCATGCCCCCTTTATTAATGCTCTGCTCAAAATTTAAAAGAAGTATTGTATATTGAGACATGATAAAAATAGGTTTAACCCCACCACATATTGATGTATTTTTTCAAAGAAAGGAACTTCGTAAATGGTTCTTTAGGTCAAATCTTAACCTATATATTATGTACTTTATCTAGACCACCCCAGATTAAATACTTGTTCTACGGACTTTTTTTTCGGGAATGAACACTTCAGCTAAGGAAGCGTTCAGAGATTGACTTATTGATTTAATTTAAGTGCGAATCTGAAAAGTAATCAATTGATTTGGAGTGGCCTTAAGGAATTTTGAGTTAATGAAAGATGATTGATATACTTGTAGTTTCTGTAGTAATTTTTTCAAAACTTCTTTAAACTGACGCGCTAAATTTGCACGAATATGTCATACGCTTCCGCGATTTATTTTCCATGTTTGTACAAAATTTACCTTTTGTAAATAAAGACTTCTCTGGTTGTATAAAAATGATTCATTTCAAATAAAACTTCTGTGAAATCCATTTTGATTGAAGGATTTAAACACAGGTTATAATTCAGGTAAATTACACGTAAAGCGCAAACGTTACCTTACGTACACCTTATTTTCAAGATTTTTATATAAAAATAATAGGTACACGGTGACTAACGATATCAATGTATGTTATATTGTTTCCAATATTGAACGAAAGTTTCTTGTAAAAAAGGAAAGAGTTCCCTGATCAAATGTAGTACCATGTCTCTTTAGATGCTTTTGTCTTCTACTGCTTCCATTAACCGAAGGTCTAAAACATACAACCATAAAGTTGACTAGTTGGATATCGACGTATTGCGTTATATTATAGACATTTTAACTATTTATTCTTTATACTTCAGAATCCCGATAAAAATGAGTGGTGATAAAAACATTGACAGTATATATGGCGATCCCTACCAGGTTCCAATAATGGTGGCAGACGAGAAAAATTTAAAAGGTTATGGTACAATTGTTCCAGATTTTGAAAAAGAAAAGGTTGAAATTGCTCCTTGGCCAGTGAATGGAAAACGAAAGTTACATCCGGGTACTGGCTCACTAGGTGGAATTAGAAGTGGCGAATTCATTTGTAAATGGGAGGGGGACGCCTGCCAAGCCATTAATAAAGGTGTTGATGATACTGTATATATCACCGGTCGGTTGCCAGCTGGTGTCTTAAAACAGAATCGTACTCATCTTCTGGTTAGGGAAGCCAATTACCATCCAGATGGAGGTCAGGTGTTTTTTCCGCGAGATAAAGACCCATTCATTGCCTTGCTGGCACTTCCTGGTGACGATGTAAAGCCAGAGGATTTTGTTGCATTTTATTTTGACGGATCATTTGGAGTACAAATGCATACAAATGTTTGGCACCAAGCTGTTATCCCAATAAATGACCTAGCTGTACTTTTGACAAAACAAGCTGCTAGTTATGCATGCGTTGATGTAGATACGATTGATGAATTTGGGAAATATTTGTCAGTTCCACTGAAGTTATAGCTCAAAGTCTTATGTATAACTTTTCAGCTTAACATTATGTTAAAGTGTTATATTTCCTGATATCTTTGTGAGCTTGACGTTAAGGATTTTTTTAGAAAGACCGTCTCTTTCAATATTATCTAAAAATGTGTAGTAACAAAACTCTATTATAGGACTTAATCTTCTGTAATAATAAAATCTTCTGATCAATTACACATATATGAGTAAGAATGAAGTCCAGCTGCTTTTTTTTTTAACTTCATGCTATTCTTACCTTACAATTTAAGCATGATAACTTCACAAAATGGTATGAAAATCCAACTAAATTTGCGCGAGCAAAAAGCCTATCAAAATTTGTCTTATAACACGATAATCAGATCGTATCCAATGTACTGTCAAAAAGAAAATGTGTGTATGGTTTGCTGAGGTTGTTTTATTAACATATCAGAGGATCTGTATGTGGTTTATTGAATCGATAATTATGGATGGAAAAGGGGGGATTTAACACACAAATGATCATTTTGAGTCAAGAGACAATGTTTGAACAAGACACGCAAGAATAGTGGTAGGCGATAGTTAACACTTGAAACGTAAACGTTTTGCAATATGAACCTCTATTGTAATATAATGTGATATAAGGTTATAAGTTAAATGTACATGTGAGTATTATATTGGGGCTGGTTATATCCAATGTATGCAATGTTCCTGATATACAGTGTACCGTTATCTGCCTCGATACATGATGTATATTAACAGTTAACGTGTCGGTCAGACACGAATGACTTCGCCTGCAGTATTATATAAAGCCGACCAACTCAAACGAAAAGCACATTCAAACGTTAAGGAACCATTTAACACTTGTTTAACAAAATTACAGGACAACATTTTCAGGCTTTACAAAAAAAGACAATATAAGTACAATTATTAAATTTGTTTTAAGTCCATCATTATACTAGTATGTATAAAATACAGGCATAATGAAAAACTGTGTAATATTAGATTGACAGGAAAATTTACTACATTGTATGGTAACGTTATGTAAATTTAGATTGACAACATATTCACAACTCGTTATATAGTTACAGGGGGAACTATATGAAAAAAAAAATATTTAAGTGCCAATCTGCCTAAGAATCAGGCAGTGGTGAAAACATGACAAACAAAAACCCACTCAAGTTGACATTAATTTATGTTCAAATTGTATAATGTTGCACAAATATAACGTTCATTTCCTTTTCCTGTTCTGTTAATTCAAGATATAATTACCAGACGAGCATAATCGAAAAACGAACCATTTCTGTCTCAGGATGAGGGTAACTTCAAAATAGGACGGCTACGTCGGTGGGGTTTTTTCGGCCATGTTTTGAATTTTTTCTAAATTGCCTGATTCTTACAAAGACTGGCACTTAAAGTCGGTACCTCCTCAAGTAGGACCAATTATATTCACTAGCACTTATAAGAGGCGTGTTTCTTGATTTCACTCACTACTAAACACTTAATTTTGCATTCTAAACACTTAATTTTGCATTCTAAACACTTAATTTTACATACTTGATTGACATCGAAATACTACTTTTGTATATGAAGAAACGTCTGTTAAAAGAGGACATACATCAAACTACATAAGGTAAAAAAAGGCAGTAAGTAATTTGTGTTTTGTGTACTGTTGTATGTTTTTTCGTCGGTTTTCGTTTTTCCATGGCATTGTCAGTTTGTTTTCGACTTATGAGTTTGAATGTCCCGTTGGTATCTTTCGCCTCTTTGAACAAATAACATCAACTTCTACGACAAAAAAGTATAACAAAATACTGAACTCCAAGGCAAATTTAAAAAGGGGGAAGTCCATAAAAACGACAAAGTCAAACATTATCAATCAACGGAACAAGTGAAAAACAACTGCCTTTATCCTGACTTTGTACAGGCATCTTCCGAAGAAAATTGTGGGTTAAACCTGGTTTTATAGCTAACTAAACCTCCCACTTGTATGACATAACATGCAACTAAAACTTATATATTTATTTCTGTTTAGAATAAATTGAAAAAGTACCTTTAGCAAAAACTCATCAAAGATACTAATCTAATTATTTTGTTTATCCTTATTCTAGAAGTCACTAAAAGAATAGGAAGAATATACCTTTGGAAATCAGTCATTTCAAATGATGATAATAATAATAATAATAAAACCATTTTTAAAAAGAAGAAAATAAACTAATACATACAAGGAAAAAAAAAGGATTTGAAGAAGACGGGATAAATCAAACGGGTTTTTATTATAACACTGACTGTGAGAGGTTAAATTAAACCATTGTGGTGACGTCAGCCTATTCATTTACCGTGGATTCTTTTTCTAGAATCAACGCTTCCTAAATCTGCCGCTGAAATTGACTCACCAAATTATATTCAATTGTTTCCTTTGTGTGTCTAATTTCATTAAGTTTGAATTGGCTAATTTACTGATTTCTGTTCACTTATGGAATTAATTTAAAAACTTGCCTTTAATTTTTTGTAATTTGTAAATGCCTTCACTGGGAATCGAACCCTTCCTTGAAATCTGTTATGAATGACTGACATCAACACATCGACGAAACCTCTCCGCTACCAATGGGTTACAGTTTAGATGTCTATTTTATATATATAAATGAACATCGGACACACAGGGGTTGTACCTTTATATATACACAAATGGCAGTCGTATAGTATAAGTTGGTAGCCGCGAGGTTAGCATGCTTAAAATCAATGAGTTAAAAGATAGGGATTTGTCGGTTTAGGTTCTAATCCCTGTATTATCTCTGTTGTCCCAATTCTGGTTTTTTTCTAATTCTGCATGTTATAGTTGATATTTTTGTAATAATAGCGAGTTTTACTGTTTATTTTTTGGATTATTATTGGCTATTTCACATGTTTGAAACAAAAATGATTACATTCTATTTGTTCATTTTTTGTTGTATAAATATAGTATGATTTCATCTGTTCTACTACATAATTTTACAAATGTTTGTTCGCAAATTCCTATGCGAGAAAATCGTGATGTGCCTAGAGTGCTAGAAATTTCGGTAACATACTTATTATATATACTTAATATATGCTCTTTGGTCGGGCTGTTGTCTCTTTAACACATTCCGCATTTCCATTCTCAATTTTATTAGAAATTAGTTCGAATATGTCTTATTTTGTAAAAACAGATAATATTCAGATGCCTGATAATATAAAGATCTTTAAAAGTAGAAGTGCTATATTTGTATTTTGTTAACCAATTAGTTGTGATCTGAGATTTATCAATACATCGTTGGACACGATAACATGGTTATTTAAACTCACTTACAATACCTTCTAATTAAGAAAAGGCTTTAATTTTGAAAAGTAATTAACACAATAGTTTAAGTTATAGATACAATGGATAAGCGTAGATTCATGAAAAACAAACCATTCGCCCTCCGGGCTCATGGTTTCTTTTTCAAGAATCCACGCGTATCCATTGTATCTACATAACTGAACAGTCTTCATATATTTAATAACATTACATTACCTTAATTGATAAAAGAAAATAAAAAAAAAAAAAAACACGACTGTACTAAATCCTCTATCCCAATTAAGGTTAATAGCTGTTGCATCATTATAGAAAGAATACTTTATTAATCTAAGAGTAATTAAACATTCCTAAAAATGCAAAAGTAATGTTACAATTTCAAACGGTTTGACAAATATGGAAATTCTATTCTGACGAATGTCCAGTTTTTCTTCTTTCTCTTCTAAGATATTGCATCTGGAATGATATACATGTAGGACATATTAAAACAAAAACATTATAAAAGATGTAGAATGCTGCTCTATTTTTCGGGTTCCCTTTAACAAACACACACAAAACTGTTAAATTAATAAACAAAAATATCGTTTTTCTTTTTGTGTAAAAAACCAAATGTTTAGAATGAATGATATTATTTTATTATGGGAGGAGAAATTCCTGTGAAATGTTTGATAAAATATTAGACATAAGAAATATCGATTGACATTTGAAGCTACATGTGTATTTTGTTATTTATTTTAATTGTGAAATGTATGAAATGGTAAGTAAAAAACTTCGATATTTCTGTAAAACTTGATATGAACTGCTCAATGATAGTCTAAAAAGGTTCCAACTTCCGTAGGAAAAGCTGGTCTTAGATGGTTTGGGCTATTCTGCTTATGTCCCTTATGATCATATAGCTCCTGGATTATTTATATATCACTGGCTGTTACAGTTTTTGGTAATGAGCGTTCGAGATGAAGGATAATTCAGAAAAGCGCTTCGGGCTCAACAAATTAAGGGTTATTTTCATTTTGAAGTAGTTCTTTATGCGAGTTAAACCTTGAAGTTAAATTAAAATTGAGCTGGTATAATTTTTGGACAACGCATGCACTCTAAGGGATCAACTGTCATGAAAACTCCCACTTTATGAATAATAAGGAGGGGATAACCCTCTACTCATAATATTTTGATTTGTGCGTTACATTTGTAATCAAAACTAAAAATCAACGATAGTATCTGTTTATTTTGTACAACTATCATTTTGTAAAAGGTAATATTTTATTAAAATTTCAATAATAATAACACTAATATTGCAAAATGATTCATATCTTTAGGCTTGAATAATTCAATAATGTAGTTAAATCAATAAAGAGTAGAGACATCACTTAATATCTTGCATATTCAAAGTAACAAATATTAGGATAAATGTTAATTCTGTCAAAATTGTACGATTACGATACCTGAATGCTGTTTTGACCTTAAAATTGAATTTCAAGGAAGTTTCTGTTCGGCCACCATATGATTGAAACATTCGCAGAACTATGCTTTTCATATCGTCCTCACCCTGAAATTTTCAAATAGTTTTTAAAGTCTGAGATAAATAAGAATACGTTTTGATGGTTCAGTTTGATTTTGAAGAAAAGCTTTATGTCGAGTTCTGGACTTCATAAATGTAATTAAGATATTTGCTAAATTAATTTATAAACAATTCCACAGCCGTTAATAAGTGCTTGTGATATTTCAAATATAAAATGTCTTTATTAATTATGAACGATGATTATATTCTAGAACCATAGAACGTGGCAGACTACATAAAACGTTTATTTGGCTGTTTTACCATTTTGATTGTTTCTAGAATAATACCAGATGGTGATATTTCCATATATGTCTTGGAAGAAGGACATCCAGTTGTCATTGTAGCTGTCACAGGGTTGTTGAAGTTGCAAGCAATTTGTTGTACAAGGGCTGACTGAAAACTTCCTGAAAAATCAACAAACTACAAATGGCGATAGATTTGTGATCGTCTAACGACATAACAAAGACACTTCGATTGAACTGTGTTGTTTTTCCTTAATAATATTATTTATATTTCGATAAATTTAAATTTTTGCATTACAGTATACTAGAAACAGTTTTGTTGTTTCTTATTTTTGTAAGATCAGGTAATGAAAAAATCTCAACAAATATACCAGGCTTATATCTTTCTTTCGTTTACCAAAGAATCACCAGTGACGCTCAAATCAAAGAAGTTAAAAGGTAAAATGGAATACGAAGTTTAAGAACATTTAGGACATAAAATCCGAAAGGTTTCCCAAAATCCCGCTAAATTAATCTATTCCTAGGGTAGAGGGCTAAAAACATCATACAGTATAAATGCTTTGATGTTATATGATATCCAAGCAATTGTCAGAACCTATACTAATTTTAAAGTATCTCACATGATCCGGTATACCTAATACATGTAATATAAAACTAAGTATCATTGCCAATTAGACAAGTATCCATCATAGTCTAAATGAAGTGGATATTAGAAGGAACCATAGGTCATCATACGGCCTTCAACGAAGATCAAAATCCATAATGCCCCCTTCACATACTAGGATTTTTCTTACGAGTCCGTACGGATCGCACAAATTTACGGATCCAAACGAGTAGGCCACTTTTATGACCGATTTAAAGAGTTGTTACGAATTATTACGAGATACTTACGGTTTATTACGATGTTTTAAGATAAAATTCCACGATTTTTAACGAGCTGTCATGGATAACTATGAGCAACTTACTGGCATTTAAAGAGGTTTTTACGGATTGTCACGAGTATATTACGAAATGTTAAGCTTTCACGTGTTACGTGGTGTAACAAATACATACGAGTTAGTAACAAACTGTTTATGTGTTGCTACGAATACTTACGAGTCCTTACGAATTTGCAGCTTTTATGCCTTTCCACAAATCCTAAACAATACGTTAGAACATCTAAAGTATACGTATCAAAGGCACTTGTCTCAGAATATTTTTTCCCCTATATACCTTAATATAACACAAGGTACTTAACTCGCATTTTTGAAAAATGTCAGCCGGTCGCGAAATTCCGTTATATGCCGATTTCTCGGTTGTCAACCCCACTAAAACTTGTTATGTCGTAAATCTAAATTGATTTTTCTACACAATGGTGTATGACACGCCTACTTTTGTTTTCGGAATCATCCATAGCAATCCTACCCAAGTATGTCAATCGTAATTATTTCGTCTACCGACGCCAAATTGGAAACATACGTCTCGCAGTAAAAGGTATCTTCCCACTCTCTTTTTATATCTCGGTTTCCGATTGGTCAAATTTTATGGGAAGGTCTTCATGTTTCTCGGAGTTATCTGATCTTATTTCATTTCATACGTAAAGTCCAGAGAGGGTCTGAATGACATTGACGTAATGGGAAAATTTATGTCTAAAAAAAGAAACTCGCAACTTAGTAGACATACCACAAATAACACTTGTTAGATTTTTTTTTCACGGTATCTTATACAAGTTTACTTACTGGGTGATAAGTTCTATTCAGACAAAAACTAAATAATTATTTTTTAAATAATTTTTATAATTAATCATTAACTGCGAGTTTTGTGTTTCCAATCTGGCGTCGGTAGACTGTACCAAGTCAGGAACATGACAGTTGTTTTCCATTCGTTTGATGTGTTTGAGCTTTTGATTTTTCCATTTGATATCTACTAAAATGTCTACCGTCGAGATATTGATTCCACTTTAGAAAATGGTGACATTTCAAGAAGTTAACCCAACTGTCATTGGCAAGACTATATAAAATTTTACAGTGTGTAATATTGGTCTATATTCATTAACATTTTACATTAAAAGTGACGAATTTATACATCCTTGGCTTCCATATTTATGGGTTTCAGAGTTTCTGAAGTAGGTAAATCTAAAAAGACCCGTCGTACTCATCGAATCTATGAAGCTTTATTTTTTGTATTTCATTGACTATACAAAAGACTACCTGTATGAGGCATGACAGCATAAGAAAATGTTTGCGTTCCCATATCTGCTTCAGGATCCGGTTGCTTTGCTGCTTTTAATCTGCAACAATGGTCAGTATCTAAGTTTTGTTTAACATATTAGATTCGTATTCCATATCACATTGTAATAGGAAAGTAGTTGAAAACGTAACTTATGACAAATTGTGAACCATCGTATTGTTTTGTTAAAAATCTTGCACTTCTCCATTTATTATACTTGTTCCCAATAGGCTGTGATTGATTGCAGATGTCGCGTTTGTATCGTTGCAACTACTTTGCAATTTTGTTTAAAAAAAATATAACAAAAATACTCCAAGGTAAATTCAAAAAGAATGAAATCCATTCAAACCGAAACTCTAAATCCTGATTTTATAGTTACAACCGAAACTGTAATACTGATTTATAGTTACAACCAAAACTGTAATATTGATTCTATAGTTACAAGCATTGTGATTCTGTACGATTGAAGTAAATATTGGTCGATGTATATTCAAACGGCACAGCAAGCTCAAAATAATGTTTACTGTGGATTCATTATTATTCGTTGGATACCAATTTTCGTTGATTTTGTTTTTACAGAGGAACAACGAATTTAAATGCGCAACGAACTTCCAATTTTCTATAGAAATGTATGTAAATTTTAGCAAAACTACGAAATCAAATACTCACGAAAATGCAAGTTTTCCTCAATCCACGAAAATTGGTACCCACGAAAATATATGAATCCACAGTAATGTAGGATTGAAGATCTCCAGAGGGTGTTTGCCGAAACTGATTTCAAGTTTTAGAAATGTTGTGCATTTCTGAAATTTTTGTTCAAAAACGAGCATTTGTAAAACCTTTCGGGATTCTCGGCCCATAATGCTCTACAACTTCGTATTTTATTTGGCATTTTAGCTGTTTTGATTCGAACGTCACTAATTAGTATTGTGTAGACGAAACGCGCGTCTGGCGTACATAATTATAAGCCTGGTATCTTTGATGAGTTTTTGTAAAAATTTACTTCAGAATAAAACACATTATTAAATAAAAATATGGCTAAGTTCCTTCCTAAGAGAAGATATTCTAATTTGATGTTAAAAACTGATAAGTGGTTCAGTTTTGAATGATTTGCAATATATCGTTGTTGAAAAATCTTTTTTTAAATACTTCTTAGAAAAAAAGAGAATTTGACGCAGTGAACAATTTAATGAAAACAATATCTAAATGGCGTCTGCTTTGTGTCGCAAAAACATTTGATCAAAGCACTGCACCATTTCAAGATAACTAAGGGGGAAAACTCTTGAACAGCAAATGTTAAAACCATAAAAATCAAACTTGACTTGTATTTATTGGGTAATAACATTGAGATTAAGTTTCAAAAGATTTGGTCGAGTAGTATTATCATTATGATGTGGAAACCAAAGAAATTTAACTTTTGAAGTACTTTATTTATCATCCGGAAACTAGACATGTGACAGACGAACGGACGGACGGACGTGTACCACTATATACTCATCTCTAAGAGGTTGAATATAAAGAAAATAATATATTATGTACTTACAAAGACAAACAAATGACGTCGTGCTGTATCATATGTCCGTATTTACAGTCATTAATAATAGCAACTCCCCAATCATATTCGGACAGATCTGCCCATTTATGTCCACATACCTATAGGAAATATTCAAAGAGTACACAAAATATAAGGATGAAAAATCATATGTCTGAGGGCAGAGGCAAAAAGTATATTGTCATTTACTGTTGTTGAGCTACAATTCATCCTTGACAATGCTTTATTTTACTGTAATTATTTTGATGCTTTGTTAGCCCACATATGTGCCCCATGAACAGCAGCAAGTGCTTTGGTATTGGCCTAATTTAAACGATGCTTAAAGATGTATCTAAACATTTTGCCGATGTGCGTGTATACGTTGTTAATTTTGGAGGTTTCCCGATGTTGCTCGCAATAAGAACCAACACTCCTCATGCTAGATATTGTATCATAGACAACCATCGTTTTGTTTTTGAAAATTAAAAATATATTTTGAGGTGTTTTGAGTTGTCGAAAATTTCAAAAGTGGGGGCTTTTCAATTTTTCTAGGAGGGTTCGTGCGACGATCTCTGTGCCTTAAAGATCCCTTGTAATAACTATCTGGAGGTCCGTAGTTGGCCAGTTGCAAGACGTATTTTCTGCACCAATACAGCGTTTCCCTTTCACTGTGGCATCACAAATGTATCGCCTTTAATTGCAGACTTGCCCACCTACAGAACCTACGTATTGCGTAAACTGTAAAGAACCCATTATGAATATTTCTGGATTATTGCCACTGCCGATTTCAACTAAACTTAATGATGAGAGGTATTTTTTATTATGTGTGTGACCTTTACGATTTCAGTTCTAGGTAGGTAAAGTGGAGGGTTGTCAACATAAACAGGTTTAATCCTACCCCAGCGTGCGACTGTAACAAGTCAGGTTATCTGGACCACGTGTTGTATGTATGCTTTTTGTTTGTCTAATTGTTCAGAGGAATCGGATGTTGATGGTTGGTGTTGCTTGTTCTGTTTTACTGACCATTACTTTTGGTTATTCTTGTTTCTTTTAATTCATTACACGTTACGTAATTTTATTTAAATTCCGCTAGCCTGTTCTTTTCCGGCGTCAAACTTTAACATCAGACATTTTAAAACTTTTTGTACGCTTCAGAATAAAAATGTCATAATAATTTAAAAAAAGAAGATTTCCACAGGTGAAAAGAGTGAGTGTTAAGTATATTATTGAAGAAACAAGATATGTCCTTTGCCATGGACGAAATGAAAGTTATCAATGACCTAACGAATATCCAATGGAAATGTAATATCGTCTCATGATGCTGAATAAGCCAATCAAATTAACTCTGTGTTCGTATCACACTCCATGCAGTGTACATTTTGTGTAATACGACATACATCTCCATACAAGAAATAGATAACAGGCCACAGCCACGAGAAAAATATTAATTATTATTAACAGCACTGTTATGCCTAATATTCTCTTTATCTATTGATGTTTATCAATAGTGAATTTCTAAACTAAAAACCTTTAATTAAGCAAATGAAAGGAACTAACTCAAATGATCTAAATTATGTTGTGACATCTCAGTAGTACATAGTACGTATGTTTTGGTGTGTATGTTAAAAATGGGTAGTTTTCGTGTTGTCCATATATAATCAAAATCGCTATGTCATTTCTATATTAACGTTTAATTAATCAAATCATTTACACTATTTTTAACAAACCTCAAACTTGCTCCAATCCCACGAAGTATTTGGTCTTGTTGTCCTCTTTATAAAGCCAAAAGGAATGTCATATGCTGCCTCATCGCTTCGAACATTTACAGGGAATTCGACTTTCAAAAACTTTCGATTTTCATACCAGTTAATCTAAAAGCAATATAAATTATACGTTATTCTGTTGCATTTGAAAAAAGTCATCCAAGATACCATGGTTATGAATCACTAAGCCAGACACGTTTTTTTTTTTTTACATAAGATTAATCAGTGGCGCTCGAATAAAAAAAGACAATTCAATTATTCAATTACGAAGTTGAAGAGAAACAATAAACAGTTAATTTACAGAAAATAATTGTGACAATGATATTGCATCATGTTCATGCCAGCATACTTGTTAGAACTTACTAATTCACTTAAGACACCATCGGAACACCAACCAGCAGTGGCATTTAATTTGCAAAATCAATATGTCCATCATTGCCATATACTGTATGTAATAACATGTATTTATTTGAATCGTTAAGGTACACGCTATTCATATGTAATAATGTACTGTTTAAAGAAATATCCAAAGCAAAGACAGTAAACAAATTGAAATGATAAATACTACACATGGTTAAACTTACTGTTGTACTGAATTTAAGATATGGACTGTCTGCATCTAAACTGATTACTTGTTTAATTGTGCTGTTTTGTGATATTCCTATCTGAAACTAAAACATATTTACGCCTATATTTATATCACTAACTTTTTTGAGACAATGCATACCAATAAACGGAATAAAAGAAGATGCATGCAGATATTATATCAATACATATGAATTTTCAATTATATCAAACTAACTTAAGAATGATACCTCAATCGGACCAGTTTTTGCGCGAGTAAAAAAATAACGGCGCCTGGGCATTCTTGTACTAATCAATAAATTTTAAAATGGAGAGTATAACATCTTAAAATTCTTTTGTGTAGCTACATGAGATGACAGAGATTGTAAATATTTTATTTAAAGCAGACAAAAATCATGTAATCATTCAGAGAAGACCTGACGTCAGATAACAATTAGAGAATAGATCTTAATAGAATTGTCAACTTCAAATTTGTGAAACGTAGCAAAAAAAAAAAAAAAAGATATACTAGTAACCTATATATATCTATACATTATATAAGATGTGGTATGGTTGCCAATGAGACAGAATTCAAATGACTTGGATTCAAGCAACTACAGGTGAGGTCACGGCCTTCAACAATGAGCAAAACCCACACCGTATAGTCCTCGTACTCATTTTGTTTGCAGTAGTTTGCATATGAATTTCATTGTTTTTTTGTTGGTCTTTTTTGAAATTGTAAACAAAAATATAAGTCTATAGTGCAATATGCACAACTCCTCCATTTTTGCCTATCTAGACCATATGTCGTAAAACAAAAACACAATAAAAACCTGTTCGTGCAAATACTAACATGTAAGCAGCTATCCATATCAAGGAAATCAAAATAAGAAGCGGAAGTTAATTTGCATTATTTCAATTGAAAATTTTCATATACAAAAATATATGCTGGGTGTTTTTTACATAATGTTACTATGTTAAAATGGAAGGTTCATAATAATAATAACGGATATTGTAGTTATCACTTTTTCGGAAAAAGTAAAATAACAAAAATATCAAACTTCAAGGAAAATTCAAAGCGGAAAGTCCCTTATAAAATGGCAAAATCAAAAGCTCAAACAGATCAAACGAATGGAAAACAACAGTCATATTCCTGACTTGGTACAGGCATTTCCTTATGTAGAAAATGGTGGATTAAACCTGGTTTTATAGCTAGCTAATCCTCTCACTTGTATGACAGTCGGAAGAGGGGGTGTCTCTGAAAGATAAGTTCACAACCAACATCACTGTCAATTTCTAGGTGCAAGTCAAAATATGAAGCATAACTTACTTTGAATTGGGTATTCTTTGTTTCAAGTTAAATATAATGTGATCATTACAGTAAATAAACTTAGAGTTTCAGTGAACTTCAATTTAGATTTGTATTCGATTAAGGTTATTTATAAGTGAAACTTAAGACTATAGTTAAATACCTCTATCGAGGCTTGTAAAGGCCCTCTTTCTGAAATACAGGCTTCTTCCTGTACGTTGTTCAAAACAGTTCTAAAAATAAGATTACATTTATGAAATTACTTTCAAAGAACCATTTGTTTTCTAAACAGCATCAACGAATATTCATTCGTCGGCATATTTCAACCGAATCCATTGCACAATATATTATTATGACAAGACGTAATCTGTTAATTGTTATTTTAAACATACTTGGAGTATGAAATAGAAAATCAGAATGTATCTGTATTTCTTTGAAAAAAAAGACACTAATAGTTCTTCACATAGACTGAAACATATTTGATTTATATTCTTTTCTAAATTTGTGTGTCTGCTACCTATGTCGAATGAACTAAACATTCATAAAGAAATTAAAAAAAAAAAGAATAATTATCAAAAGCAACAGAAAGCTACAACGATAAACAATAAGGACGGAAAGGAAACAAAATCACCGCAAAAAATATATGTGCTACTTTGACCTATTATTGTTTACTTTTTACACATTGTGACTTGGATGGATAGTTGTTTCATTGGCACTCATACCACATCTTCTTATTTATAATTTACCTTGTTTCTAAGTGAAAATGATTGACATCCCAAGCATCCCATTTATTTGGTACATCATCATATAATACGAACTGGTTTCCTACACAATCCGTTTTAATTGTTTCCCTGTCAGGAAAAAAAGAAAAAGATGTTATTGCAACTTTTATTTCGAGATGATGAACATCTTTTTTTCACCCTACAACATTGCTTTAGTTTTCTTCCTTCACGTTCCATTGACCTAGAGACTAATTGGTGAGCAAAACCTGAAGTGCAGAAGTGGACTGTTAAGGTCTAATAAAACCTTCGGTGGAATTAGCTTTGAAGAAATTATATAATTTTCAACTTCAGAAAAATATACAATTTTCCGCTATACATATAAAAAAGAAAGACATAAGGCCAAGTTAAAAAAAAAACAACATACAACTAAGTAACCATTCATGTAAGTAAATGAGGATATATTGAAGTGACTACAAAGAATTGTAATAGTCAAATTAATCAAGGCAACCTTTAACAATGCTAAAACGTAAACTTTATACCTCTTATGTTCTCTAATCATTTGTATTCAAATAACGAATATACACTAAAGAGACAGGACACAATGTAATAATAAATCAGAAAGATATATGAATTTAGTTAACTATTCAGTGTTTTGTGGTAACAAGACCATACATGTCAAGGGCATACGATACAGTTTTGATCCCACGGTGATTTTTTTATCAAAAATTTGCATACAAGCTATTTATAAGTCAATTCAAATATGTAATTAAAATATACCTTCATGTGCTAAATTCAAAAGATAAATGGGGTCGAAATTATAGACATTTACTTAAAATTCCGGTTTCTTGGACATTTCTATCCTGAAGACAGACATACTTATTTTTTTTTGTTTCAAAAGATAAACACATGCGGATTATTGTGACAAGATAAGCCTTAAAGGAATATCTTCCTTTTTAAAGAATGCTCTTAATTTGTGTAACAATTCTTTATAAATAATTTATTTTTAATAAATTTTCATGATTTTAGGAAAAAACTGCATATTTATTTAATTTAAAAAACATTTATCGGTGATTTTTTCATAAAAATTGGAATGAATAATCTTCATATTGTATCAAGTCAAACGTCATTTTAAAACAGAGGGTTCCATGTACTCGTTTTCAAGCTAATGATTAAAATCACACGAAAAATGCATCTTTTTTTCTCTCGATATGTCGCAGTTAGACGTCGCGAAAAAATAACATATTACGTTAGCAACGTCATTACCTTCCCTGCAACTGTATCGTATGCCCTTGATAAGTATTTTGAATACTGTAAACCAACACTAGCAATTTACTTTCGCGACTTTTTGCGAGTGGGAAAATAAATCAGGAAATGTGAAATCGCGAAAAAAAATCGTCGCGTAGTCAGATAGAAAGGACTTACCGCGAAATAAAGTATCCGAGATAATAAGTTGGTTTACACTAAGTTTAGTGTTGGTAAATTACGTAAATGATCATTCTTACCGTGAATTTTTCTTAAACATAATGCTTTTGACATTACCATTCTTTAGAATCTGAGCCTTAATAATTCCATTCTCCAAAATGAAATGGTCACCCTATATGATATAGATGAAAGTCATCTGTAATTTTTATATGAATAAAACAAATACTTTTACAAATAAATTGTATTTTACACAGATTACAACTGGGTTAATAGTTTTTAAAGTTTTGGTAACCCCTTAACACCAGCACGAGTTTGTTTACCGTTATGGAATCTTTGTGTCACAGATGATTAGATATGTTCAAACTGTCGCGATCACGATTGTGATATCACCGAATTTGTACTTACCATGAGGAATATTGCGGGCGCTACATGTGGAGCAGGATCTGCCTACCCTTCCGGATCACCTGATGTCATCCTCGGTTTTTGGTGGGATTTGCGCTGTTCATTCTTTAGCTTGCTATGAAGTGTTTTTATGATTTGTCGTTTTTTGCCATGACGTTGTCAGTTTCTCTTCGACTTATAATTTGAATGTCTCCTTGCTATCACTTATAACATATACTATTAAATGATCTAGAGCTGTTTGACAAATACAGTCGTATTTTATGCATTTTCAAGGAACGTATACCACGCTCATACAAATATTCGATCTACTTTTTCCGGACTTTAAGAATGTGTTGTTATGGTAAATAATTACTAGATATGAGCGATCTATATTTTTACATAATTTTAATAAAAAAGATTTTTGATTGTGCGACTTATCATTGATCTTCGCTAGCTTATGGTATCGATATTGTGAATACAGCGCTGCGCCATCTAGTGACAGATAGAAGTCACGCCAAATTCAACTACATCATTCTTGACCAAGGAGAGCACTATATTTTTAATTTAGGAGGTGTAAAATATGGCTACATCCAGTTTACAAATTTCGTGAAGCAGAAACTGCATATATACATCGACATTCCATCTTTTGCACGAGGAACATACCTAAAAATCTTCAATAAGTTGATTAGGAACTTTAAAAGTGTTACTAAATATTTTCCCTATATTCGGGGGTAAAAACTCGTGGAACATTCTGATGTCACCTGTCTGTAGGGTAGGTGATAAATTTTGTTAATATAACGTAACTTAAACAACTGTCATATAAGTGGGAGATTTAGTTAATTATAAAACCAGGTTTAACCCACCATTTTCCTCGGAAATATACAAAATATTTCCGACGAGTTGTATGCTACTTACATCCTTGCGGACAGAAACTGGATTCTTTATTGTGTTGGTATTAATCAAGTCAATGTATCCGTTTGCTGGGACTGACACGCTCACTGCAAAAAAAATAAGACACATCATATGCTAAATTTATGATACAATCATATTACCTATTAAAAAAAAAAATATTTGGACGTCCTGATTTAGAATATGTTCATTTGAAGACTAAGGATAATTAAGATGAGAACAATTAAAAAAAAAATCTGTTTAGAGGGTAAGCTTTGTGTACTCTTGTTGTTTTTTGCGCAAATAACGCATATGTACTTCTTTTGAATCAATCATTATATAATTACAAATGCATTCATGGGCTTACCTAATGAAGTACCATTCTTTATTTCTTGAACTGTTCCGTTATTCGATAACTTATCATTTTTCTCGATCGGTATAACTTCAGTTCTTTCCCAACAATATTTGTTAAATACTCGACGTACTGTTGAAGTATTTTCTGGTTTCAACAACACCTTTCAGAATTGATAAAAGAAAAAAAAAGTATATATAATTAGATATAGTCCAGTTCTAAACGAAAACCAATTTATAAATGTACATAACAGTTTTCTCTGAAAAACAAGTCTGTTACTATCTATGAATAACATACTAAAACTATACAAAAATATATTTTGCGGAAAGTGGTGTAATTTATAAAAATGTTTAGTAGTAAAAGTAAGGTTATATGAGTTGCTTCCCCTTATTTCCCAAAGTTGAAAAAAATTAAATTATACAAAAAATGTTCTGTAGTTTTTAAAACAGTTGAAATAATACAATACAATACATAATTATTTCAATTTAAAAGAATAATATTACAAATGAATCACTTTCCTGTCTCAAAATTTGTATATTTGAATAAGGATATAGACCGAGATTGTGTTCTGCTATTTTACAATCCAAGAATCTAATTCCCCAAAATAGTGTTGGTAAGTAACCTATAAATGGAAAACTGTGCTGAATTAGAGTTACCAACTTAGTCACATTCTTACTTGGTATTTGAAAGAATTCTGCCCCTGTGTTAAAGGCACAGACATTTAATTTTTTGTTGGGGGAGGGGTTCCGAAAGTCATGTTTTGTTCTTTATAAAAAAAATGTTATTGCAAGATTCAAAGTCTTTAATGTATTTTTTCCCCCACAACTTTAGAAAGAAAACAATATATTTTTTTTTCATTTACCTTCTGGAATAAACATGTTAAGATTTAGAATTCAACAATGTTTCATAAAAAATAAGAATGATGAGTGTTAAATGATTTTATGTTAAATATTTTTTCAGGCTCCTCGAAGCAAATAGCTACTCATGTAATTTGCGACGATCTCAGTACTCACACACCATATAAATAAAGCTTTGACTGTAACACTGAATCCACGTTTCACTTTGGTTACTAATCGGGTGTGTACTTATTTATATTTTAGTCGGTGCCAACAGTATTTATTCATCAACTCAGTGTCTTTTTGTTAATTGGTCATATACTCCGTGCTGATCTTTTTGAGTTGAGCCCTTTCCAACTGGTTTTTCCAATTTGTTCTTACGTTGTTTGCTATTCAAATAAAATTGAGAATGGAAATGGGGAATACTGTATGTCAAAGAGACAACAACCCGACCAGATCAAGAGCAGATAACAGCTGAAGGCCACAAATGGGTCTTCAACGCAACGAGAAAATCCCGCACCAGGAGGTGGTCCTCAGTCGGCCCCTATATAAAAACTGTTCCTGATTATTGTAGGGTTGAGTGCTCGCAAACAGGGTTAACCCTGCACACTATGAATATGATCATCACAAGTCAGTGGCCCTTTATTACTTGGTTGTTATTGTTTGCTGTCTGTCATATTTGTTTTTCCGTTTATTGTTTTAACATTAATCAGGCCTTTGAGTTTCTCGTTTGACTTGTTTTATATTTTGACGATGAGCTATAGTATACATCCACACCCACATCATTGATATCTCTTGTGGAAAGTTTTCTCATTGGTAATCATACAACATCTTCTTATGTTTTTAAAGTGGGGAGATTTTATAATAAGTGGTGGTTTCATTGGCAAGCAATCAAACTTACTATCAAGAGATCACTGATAGAGTTTAGTGGACCATAAAACTTAAACATTTATATTCTTTGGCATGAGGTGTATTTTTTAAAATATTTTTATAGTTTCGTTTAAATGAGTTGAATACAGGTCAGCATTCCGGAAGCAGAAAACAGCGTCTTTAACATTGATATATCTGTAATAGAGTATATTTATGAATAAAGAGAGATTTGAGGTTTTTAAAGTCAACGAGAAAGCAACCCAAACGATTAACAAAAACCAACAGACATACTTTCAGATAAGACATGACTATCTAAACGCTATCTCTGGCCATCAAAGTCGCCCACAGACACTACAAATTTTGATTCATACACAAATGATGCATGATCATTTTTTTACAGTTCTTAGCCTAAGCTGATTATCTTTTATTAAATTAATTCAATGAGATATATTAAATAAAGAACTTGGTAATTTTTTTTCTTTATATACTAGTAAGTATATTTACTAGTATTATCTTTGACCATAATATTTTCACATAGCAGACAACCCATGTTAGTTCTTTGTCATTACCATTTGGTTGATGTTTCAGACCACCACATACATGCAGGTTTATAGGGTACACACACAAGGCGCTGTTCCTATTAACACTTCCTCCAGGAAGTGATCCCATTAATTCATTCAACAGTGCTTATCTCATTTTCAACCTCTTTTAATGCTAATTCAGTGAACTAGTATATGTTCCTAAATTTAAAAAGCTTATAATATCTGAAATTAAACGTGGATATTGATAGCGCTTGCTAAATAAAATTAGCAACACATTAAGAGAAATCTGCAATCACATCGTCTGAGTTTAACTGTGACTTTATGCAATTCAAATATTGTAAAAGAAGCTAATGAAAAAATACACAAAAAGGACTACAGTCAATGACGATGCAAGGACACTAGAAAAATGAATTTTCCAGCAATTAACATGACAAAATCAAAGTCAGTAACCAAACTGATTTACAGTTATTTTTGAACACAATCATTTTTGTCGAGCCTTCGACTTTTGTCGGAAAAGCGAGACATAACGATCCTACATTCCGTCGGCGTCGTCGTCGTCGTCGGCGGCGTCCACAAATATTCACTCTGTGGTTAAAGTTTTTGAAATTTTAATAACTTTCTCAAACTATCCTAGATTTCTACCAAACTTGGACAGAAGCTTGTTTATGATCATAAAATAATATTCAAAAGTAAATTTTGTAAAAAAAAAATCCATTTTTTCCGTATTTTACTTATAAATGGACTTAGTTTTTCTGCCAGTTTACATTACATTCACTCTGTGGTTAAAGTTTTTGAAATTTTAATAACTTTCTTAAACTATCTTGGATTTGTACCAAACATGGACAGAAGCTTGTTCATGATCAAAAGCTAGTATCTAGAAGGAAATTTTGTTAAAATCTTGTTCAATTTTTTCCGTATTTTACTTATAAATGGACTTAGTTTTTCTTCCAGTTAACATTACATACATTCTGCAGTTTAAGTTTTTAAAACATTTTTTAGAATCATAAACTATCCTGGATTTTTACCAAACTTGGACAGAAGCTACTTACAATCAAAAGATAGTATAGAGAGGAATATATTTTATTAATTTTTCTCCTTATTTTTGTTGAGCCTGCGATTAACAGCAAATGTAGGCGAGACACTGGGTTCCGCGGAACCCTTACGAATTTTTTGTTTATTATACCTACACGTATAATTACTATAAATACATAACCGAAATATAAGATAAAATTTCAAACTTCCACGAAATGCACATATTTAAAACTGAGTTTTACTGTGTGTTTGTTTATTCTATATTGTCTAGAGAAACTAGGAGATGGTTGAGTTCTCAAACAACATGTTTTACCCCTGCCACATTATTGCACCTATCCCAAGTCAGAAACCTCTAGCCTTTGTTTGTCTTGTGTGTGTGTTTTTGTGTGTGATAATTTTGGTTCATTTGTATGTACTGGAGTTTAGGGTGGTGTCCATTTTGCTGATCTAGAGTACCAAATAATTAAGGGGTCAGAGCCCACCTCCGTGTGCCGGATTTACTTGCTATGTTAAAGACCCATTAGTGGCCTTGTTTTCTCTTTGACACATTTCCTGTTTCCATTCTCCATTTTTTCGTTTTTAAAAATCAAACAAGAAATAACCAAGATTTTAAAATTTTCATTTTATATGCCCCTCACTTAGGGGCATTATGTTTTTCTCTCTGTGCGTCTGTTCGTACGTCCGTCTGTCCTGCTTCAGATTAAAGTTTTTTGTTAAAGTTTTGGTCAAGGAATTTTTTGATGAAGTTGAAGTCCATTCATTTTGAAACTTAGTACAAATGTTCCCTATGATAAGATCTTTCTAATTTGAATGCCAAATTAGAGTTTTGACCCAATTTCACAGTCCACTGAACATAGCAAATGATAGTGCGGGCGGGGCATCCGTGTACTATGGATATATTCTTGTTTTGTAGTTAGTGTCTAAAACAAAATATTTCACACAACAAATTGATTATTATTGATATCGATAACAAGAGGAATACATATGCGATAAACATAAGATAATATAGTCTGTCTATAAAGATCCTATGTTAAAAGTTTTAACCATGAATAATCGAGTTTTTTATTTCCATTTTTTCACACAATTTTTCTCTACAAATCACATTTTACACAAAAATTACAATTTTTTAAATACTAATAACTATAGGGCTTCTTAAGATAAACATCGGATAGTATTCTCTATTTTCTGTCAAGATTCCAATTTGAAAGTTTTAACCATCAATAACCGAGATATCTTCATTTCCAGTTTTCCGGGTTTTCGGTCTTAAAACATATATCAAACCAAAATTACCCAAATATTAATATTGATAACTAAAGGACTTCACAAATAAAACATAAAATAGTATGTTCTTTTTCTATATAGATCAAATTTCAAAAATATTAACCATTAACAACGGAGATTTTCTACGTTTCCAGTTTTAGCGTTTTTTTCACTAAATATCACTCATTTCACCTCAAAATTACTTCAATATGAATAATAATAACTAGAGGACTACATAATACTCTATTAAGATAAGGTTTCCTGTCTTCAACAAGCTTTAGGTCTAAAAATGTAACCATAAATAACATTTTTTCTTCTTTTCCAGTTTTCAGCATTTTTTCTCTAAAAACCACATATTTCACCCCAAAATAACCTTTTCCGCAAATTATATCAATGTATAGTTTTAGTATGTTGTTAGTACAAGTCTATATTATAATTTGCACTAAAAAAACCTTGTGTTGCAATTAGTTGCAGGTTGGGCGACTTTAGAGCTAAATTGACTAGGCTAATATGCAATAAAGCAAGAAGAAAATATGGTTTGTTTCGTTAATCTTTAATTTTCTGGTAAATATGATGCTCAGAATTAACAAAACGTTTTAATCATTTATTTCCCGTATGCGTATTTTTCCCACTTTTAGAAATATAAAAACAACACGAACCTTTTCAATATGTTTTATAACGTCGACTTTTAACCAATTAAGATTTTCTATCGATTCTGAAAAACAATTAATGATTAACAGGTTAGATGTCATGACATTAAAATGAACATTTTTTTTAGTTTAAATGTTGCCTACTACTCCGAATTTAAAGCTCAACCACTGTTTTTTACCGACCCGATAACTACATGTATGTTATAATTTTAGCAGGCAGTGCTTGTACAATTGAAAAAAAAATACACTTGTACTTATTTCATTCGTTTTTGTAATATAACTAAGTTGTTACAACAATAGAGTTAAGCTAAGAAAGTTCTAGGTTTTTATTATATATTGAAATATTGCCACGTGCACACAGTGTCACTAGTGGACCAGGATCTGATTACCCTTTTGTAGCACATGAGATCACCTTTTGGTGGGGTTCGTGTTGCTCAGTCTTTAGTTTTCTGTGTTGTGTTTGTTTTACGGTTGTTTGTCTTTTGGTTGTTTTTGGTTTTTTGCCATGACATTGTCAATAGATATAAGAAGATGTGGTATGAGTGCCAATGAGAAAACTCTCCATCCAAGTCAAAATTTATAAAGGTAAACCATTATAGGTCAAAGTACGGTCTTCAACACGCAGCCTGGGCTCACACCGAACAGCAAGCTATAAAGGACCCCAAAAATTACTAGCGTAAAACCATTCAAACGGGAAAACCAACAGTCTAATCTATATAAAAAACGAGAAACGAGAAACACTTATGAACCACATCAACAAACGACAACTACTGAACATCAGATTCCTGACTTTGGACAGGTGCAAACAAATGTAGCGGGTTTAAACGTTTTAATGGCACCAAACCTTCACCCTTATTTGAAACAATAGTGTAACATCACAACATAGAAAGACACACAATAAAACAATGCGCTGAAGACCCAGTGGTGGTCTTGGGAATTGTTCTGCTCTTTGGTCGGGTTGTTGCCTCTTTTACACATTCCCTGCAAGTGTCCATTCTATATTCTATTCTTAGTGTTGGAGCAATAGGTTGGTCGACAACATTAAAATTTGCTTGCACCAACCTTGTGAGATTAATAATACTTTATGACTTTAGTCAAGCTTGGATACCACAAGCTGACTATCTTAAATCAGTTAGCATATAAGTTGCTTTTTTGGTTCCATGATCATGCCCTTGGTTGTCGTTATAGCAAGAAATGGGACAGTCATTAACCAATTGCCCTTATCAATTTTTACCATTTTTTTTTTACAGTTGATTACTTTGGAAGTCATTTCAAAAACAAAATAACGATTAATTATTCGTAAATCATAAAGAATTCAACTTACCTTCAATGTTAGTCTGAAAATAGTGTGTGTGCGTGTGTGAATGTGAAAAGAGCAACAAGGGTAATTTATTTATTTCATGATTTTACAAAATATGTTTAAGGCTTGTTTTGTGACTACAAAAGTAGAGTATTTTAATAAATATACCTTTGTAAATCTTCATTGCATCGTCGTATACCTAAAATGATAATTTGGCATATAATGTGGTAATGGAAGATACATTAAAGTAATTTTAATAAAATCATATTTTACCATGATTAATTATGTGACAGCAAAGTTAACTTGTATAAAAAAAAGAAGATTGATTATGATTGTCACCGAGACAACCATCCACTGGAAACCAAATGACGTAGATGTAATCAGCTGTAGGTCAAGGTTCGCCTTCAACAATGAATAAAAAAATATAATAAAAGGCCCCGACATGAAAAAATGAATCACACAACAAAAACCACAGAGTCATTTATATACAATTATTTTGTAGTTTCCTATAACCAGTACGTACAAATCATGAGCATTTTGTTTCAGAACTAAATATTTATGTTTTAAATTTGATATTTTGAAACACAAAGAAACACCATTATCTTATAGGAATTATGAGACTATATGTAATTAAAAAAAAACGAAATAATTATCAAGTTGTGTCTTGTGTTTACATTTATTCCGATTTTACATTTACAATTTTTTTTAATGTTTTTGATCATAGTGATGTCTTATTGAAGTATATGCAACATGTCATTGTGTGCTATGAAAATTCAACTAAACAAATGGATTTGTTTGATGTTTTAAAAAATCCTTTCTTTGTACACATTTATGTGACAAATGATTTTTGGCTCTTCCTCCACTATCAAAACTACGTTTAAAATGCATAAGAGAATATACATGCACTGATTGTTTATAAATTTGGTGATGGCATAGGGTAAGACATTTACCAATTAGCTATCCAGGAATATGCATCACTAGATTACACTTTTCGACGTATTTCAACAATTCAATTGAAATTTGAATGCTACAGCTAGACTGATTAATCTCTCAAATATGGGCATAGGTATCAGATCAAGGGACAGTACTCGCCAGTCTACGCTATAGCATCCAATACAACAACATATTACAATACATGCGTTTACAACTTGCTTCAGCAGCTTTCGTAAAAATAACATTAGAACACCCATTATATCTGTTTCGATTTCTCCTCGCTAAGATCACCTTTAATTTTGTAGTTATTTGTGATCACTGAACGAAGACTAAAAATGTTGTAATTTGATTGTATTTATATTAATCTCGTCTTTCTGTCATGTTATTTTTTTATTTTGCTTGAATTTCATGACTGAACATAGTTTTAAAATTTTGAAATGTTTTATTTGAGAAAAAATAGTTTGCAAATGTACTTACTGCTTGAATGGAACTACCAGGCAGAACATCATGGAACTGATTTAACAATACATTTTTCCAAATGCTGTTCAGTTTTTCCTTGGGGTATCTAAAAGTAGAACTTTCTAACAGCGAAATGCAGGACAAAAATTCCACATCATGCAACAACTGTTCACATCTACGGTTTGCCAATTTCGTCTGAAATTACACAAACTAGACAAATCATAGGTAATGGAAAAATAATTATTTCCTGTAAGCAAATTAGCAACGACAACAAAAAAAGCCTTTCTTATTGACACTCATACCACATCTTATATCTATTTACACGATTTAGATATGAGCATATTGATGAATAAGAAAATTTACAGTACAAAACAGAACACATTTTAAAAAGGCTGTAGTATTAAAAGCTAGATTTTTGTCAATATAACGCAAGTACAGCAACTGTCATACACGTGGGAGGTTTAGTAAGCTATAAAACCAGGTTCAACCTACCATTTGTTTTCTCGGAAAATGTCTGTACCGAGTCTGGAATATGACAGTTGTTTCCATACGTTCCATTGGTTGATAAAGTCTAACGTTTGATTTTGTCAGTTTTTATAGACCTCCATTTATGAATTTACATTGGAGTTCGGTATTTTTGTGGATGCTGTTTTACAGCAAACATCACCAGTAGTGGGAGATACATAATATACTGTGAATGAAGCCTAAAATGCGATATCTATAGTATTGTATGACCGACAGGTTTATATATGTAGAATATAAAGTCAAATCTAGAATGACGCACACGGCAACACAAATTCATACATGTACATGAATACAGTAACAGCATTATTAAATAACCAAATATTAGACCGAGTAGTTTTTTTCAAAGTAATTGAACTCTGGAGAAGGAATTTGAAATAATAAGGTAAACTAAAATGTAATATAGGTATACAAAAAATAACCGTAAGACTTTCAAAATGTAAATATTCGACTTATATCATGTATATACCTTAGCTTGTGATGTGTATGTGCCTTGATGAAACTCCAAAAACAATTCTCCTGTCCATCGACATAAGTTGTCCTTTTCATTTTGTTCAACATATTCAAAATATTTGGCAGGTGAAGACATTACCATCCTGTTATAATTTAAAGGAGTGGGGACTTCAAAGAGTTTTCAACCACAAAGAATGCATGCAAAAGTACCGTGTTTAGATTATATAAAAATCATCTGAATATTTCATTTCAATTTTTTATTTATATTTTTTATAATTTATGTATAATTTTATGTGAGGTTTACATTAAATTTTAGTTAGCTAAGTCTATGAATGCGTTTGCGTCTTTTTTATTTACTTATAGAATGATACACTTGGCATATATATGTGCATAGAGTCCACTTTCCACATAAATGTTCTTCACCAAAGTATGGTATAGCAAATCTCCCCTGAATTTATGTCATACCAGAGCCATTTTCAAAAAGTCTTTCATTCTTTACTTAATTTCACGATATCATCGCTCTATGTGTGTACTTTGAGCTTCTAGGAATATTATGGCACATTTTAAACAGACACATGTAACAAGGTTATGAATGCCTAACGATACACGTAAATGTATCAAATCCTTTAGATAAACATTGTTCCATTTTGTAATTTTTGGTCAAAATGTCTCAACAGCAACATTTAGCGCTTAACCATCTTTTGATTTTATGAAAAATATATACAATTGTTGTTAAATGTTTGAGGTACATGATATATACTCTTCAATATTGAAATTCCAGTAGGATTTGACATCTTTATGCTTTTGACCCTGTGAGTAACAAATACAATACCACCATAAGATGTTAATATATCAAAATGGCGATACACATAATCAGAAATATTCCTACCAAGTATGAAAGTGTGAAAAAATCCATTTGTTTAAAAAAAAATCAAAATACTGTGTAATAGATATGTTAACATTCATATTAAAACAAGTACACATATACTTTATCCAAAGCGTACATTTTTATCTGAAGTTTCGAAGTATTAAAGAAATTATAAAATCTTAATCATCTTTAATTTCATAAAAAAACTACATGAGTTGGAATGAACGCTTTGGACAAAATATATGTGTACATGTTCTATATACAAAAAGTGTGAAAAATTTAATTTGAATCTCAGTCATGGTCTCATCAGCTGTAAAATAGTTGCTTTACAAACATTAACTCACAGAGGCAAGCTAAAACACTTTTCTATTACTACGATACCGATCAATGATTACGAAAACTGTCATTAATTATTTTAATCTCAAATACCTAAATTATGTATACCTTGGAAGGCCATCAACATCACTCATTCTGTGAATTCTTTCAATCTGATTTTCACTGAAAATTAAAATTTCACATAATTTAGCTCAGCCTTTGGGTAAAAAAACTGATCAAGGATACCAGGCTTATAATTTTGTTCGCCAGACGCGTTTCGTGTACAAAAGACTACAGTCACTTTCGTATACAAAAGTTAAAAGGCCAAATAAAGTACAAAGTTGAAGAGCATTGAGAAAGCATAACAATTCGGATTTTCCACACGCCGATCTGGATAAACTTGGTGTAGTGAAAAATAGAAGTATTTGTTTCAATATAGTGTATTCTTGACAAAATTTCTCTTATTCCAACGGTCATACTGAACAAAGTTTAAACAAATAAATCCTTAAATAGAAATTTTATATTGTCAAGGGTTATACCGACGTCAGTTTATATGTCCAAGTAAAACAGTCAGACAAGGAAGTAAAACGGTTGGAATCGCTTGCAATCCACTTACGCAGAGACCAATTGCGTTAGTAGGGTAAACAAATACCTACATGTATCATCTGTCATACGATCCCCAAGTCATATCCAGCAGTAAGTATTAAGAAAAACACATTAAAACAACTAGAACTGCGAGTGAGCTCATGAAAGGATACCCACCCCCGAAATACTATTGCCACATATTGCAATATTTCAGGAAGCTGGTAGGTTCGATTATCTTCCTTTTAAAATGAAGGACATATATTATATTCATTTAAGCCCATCATCAGGTAGACCAAATGTACATGTACAACTTTGTAAAGCTTCAATTATCCACCAACCCGTTATGAGTTGCACTAACAATGCACATGGATATATATACAGACTGACAGACCGATAGACACACGTATGGAAGGACGGACAGAGTGATGCCTATATGACCCCCCCCCCCCACAAAAAAAAAACAACAAAAAACAAAAAACCAAAAAAGCTTGCAGAGGTATAATTGATAAATCTGTAGATTAGTAAAGAGTACATATGCAAGTTAAAGACATTCCTAAATTTCTGATCTAAATTAGTTGTGTGCTTTTAATGTATAGCTTGCAACAATATTTCATTATTGATTTACTAACGTGATACCACCTCCCCCATCACCGTATCCATAGAGATACATAGATGAGTTAGATCGACCTTTGTCCTCAAAGTTGTTCACTGTCATCACAACCTACAAAAATATATACATGTAAAATAAGCTTGAAACAGAAAAAGCTCTGAATTAAAAGAATCTTGAAAAATCGTCTTACATTCAGTTTCATTTAAGATAGTGTTTATTCCTCAAATATTGATAAGGAATTTTAGATGGCTGTACATTACAAAATACATATTGAAATTAGCAAATCATAGTTACGTTGATAAATGATCAAATTTAATTACTGAGCATGTGCAATATATTCTATGAGTTTAAAAAACACGTGTATTTTTTTTTATTTTAATGTGTTTTTTTTTAGATTGACAAAGAATTAGGAAAACTGTAGTTGTTAACTTCTATGTCATTCGGTCTTTGGTGGAGAGTTTTCTTATTGACAATCATACTACATCTTCTTATTTTATATTTAACATATCCGAGGTTAATTCTGTTCCTGTATCATGTGCATCGGTGTTTTAGATTTTGTTTTAAATTGCGTACAATATATTTGATCTCTGCGTATTTCTATTAAAGACTGGTGTACCTACCTCGTGCACATGGCCAAGCATATGGTAATTGTTACCAGGGGGAAAATGTGACAGTATCTCTGTGCCATCAATACCTTCCCATATAAATGTGTGATGCTGAAGAGTAAAAAATAGTATTAAGCCATTATCAATGTCTACGTTTTTCTTGAAATATATTTTTTTAAATTCTTGACATATCTATCGAAAAAAACAGACTTAAAAGACCTTCATAAGTCGACACTACCACCCAATCTGATAATATTGTTTTACAAATAATACATTCGATATCTGTGAAACTATATAATGTTGACAAGTCTGTAACAATACATTAAAACAACTGAAAATGACAACATATAGGACTAGCCGGCTTTACAAAATACATGATTTACCAATATTTCGTACTTTATTTGACCTTTTTTACTTTTTTGATTCGAGCGTTACTGATGAGTCTTTTGTAAACGAAACGCGCGTCTAGCGTAAAAATTTGTTATGCCTGCTATCTATGATGAGTATATTTCCTTTAGTTTGTACCAGTAAGTTTTCAGTATTATTTTTGTTGTTGTTCATATATATGAAATGGACATGTTTTGCTATTTTTTAAGGTCATCTTAGTATTTAATGTTCAATTTCAGAATCTTTCATCATCGTAAATTGCATAGGGCAATCTCAACATCCGCGTAAATGACGTCTGGGCAACTTGGAGTGCTTACAGCGATGATTTGCACGTAATGCAACACAATTTCTGAAATTGAATAGGCTTATTGCACTTCTTTTATTAAACATTTCTTGATATATAATAACAAATATTCCTATAAAATAAAGGTACAGTTGTATGTTATCCCGCTTCTCATATGAAATTTTTCATAAACACAATATATAGGTATTGCTTGTAGACTGTAAGTCACTAACGGTATCACCAGCTTAGTAATCAGTGCTTCAAAACTGACATTATTTATAACATAAGTAAAAAAAAAAACGCCGTTGAAAAATTTAAAATGATTAAAAACTAAGTTTCTAAGTCCCTCAGTTTAAGTTGACCTAACGTGCATGTGGTCATTCTTTTAGGTCCCTTTTAGTCTTATAGCTCCTTATGTTTCTAAGTATTTACATAGCTGTGTCTTTCACATGTTTATGTTTAAGCGTTGGTTATGTCAAGAAAAACGCTTCGGACGTACGAAATTTATTCCGTATTATTTTCATCACTTTCAAAATTTGACACTTACTGGAAATTTATTTACTGCATTCCAAGAAAGCTTCTGGGTGACAAACCTAGTCATGCCAGCTGATTTTACCATCTGTGGTAGCTGTGCAGTATAGCCAAAGGTATCAGGAAGCCAAAACTACAAAGCATAAAATATTTTTAGAAAAAAATAATTATATTCTATCTTGTGTCATTCATTTAATGTATATATTGAGATATCGGTAGTGATCCTACATGGAGAAAACATATCAGAAATTTAAGAAAAACAGAATATTTGAGATAACCTTTTTACTAGAAAGTAACACAAACATATAAATTATACACAAAAAAATCATTCAAGGTTACAGCAATCTGTATCTAGCACAAAAATCTAAACAAGTTCTGCCTGAATAAATTGTATGGTATCTCACCTCAGTACATTTACGACCAAATTCCTCTTGATAGAATCGTTGCCCATACAGAAATTGTCTTGCGAATGATTCCCCGCTTGGTAAATTTCCATCCATTTCAACCCAACTGCCACCTACTGGTATAAATTTGCCGGATTTTATGGCTTCGCGTATTTTCTTGTATAGCTGAGGATATTTGTCTTTTACCCACTGGTGCTGTTGCGCCTTTTAAGAGCAAATATTAGACAAGTTATTGCTCAAAACTACACACAGTACATTGCGTGCAATGACCTAGATGACAAAACAGAATAAGTCAATATTTAAATATAATATTTTAGCATAAATAATATATGGCCGAGCAGGATATCTGTAATTTTTTTCTTATAATATACATTAGAGTTGAGCAATTCAAGTAATAAAAATTACTAAAATGTTTCTGTTTGAAATTGAATATAAAAAAATATATATAGACGAATAAATACATAAATAAAGAAATAGTTCTATATGGTTTTATATGATAGCAGACAAGACTATGGTGTATTTAAGTAGTGTGTTGCTGTTTCATTGACGTATAACCACAACTAGTTTCAGTCATGATTTATAAAAGAACTGCCTGTCTGACCTGGGAACACGTAAAAGTGACATCTGGATATTGTTCCATCAACAACAAAGTTGAACTCCAACTTCTAGCACATTTCCTAATTGTGCAATCGTATCTCCATAGCCATGCTGAGAATATTAAATATGATAGATATAAATAAATCTATTATATCTGATCAAAAATAAAACATTAATCACTATGTAGCATGTAACAAAAAAAAAATACTCCCGGATTTATAAAATCACTTTCAAAAATATACTGTGTCTTGAGATAAAACGATATAATTATTCAAAGCAACTGTTCTATTCGCCGTATCGCCTAAAAATATGTGCGAATTTATAAAAATTAAACTCACAAATATGTTTTGAGACATACTGGTCTCCTTATACAAAAGAATAAAAGGAGATAAGGGGTATACGTAAATTAGACAGCACATCTAACAAACAAAAACAATTATTTTGACTACATTACGTATAGTACGCTGAAGAACATTAAATTGAATGAATTATTTGTGATGCTAGTCTGGATGTTGACCGAAAATAGATATAGTGGTTCTGGTTTTTCCTGGCTCTAGCATTATATATTCTCTATGAACTTACTATACGTTTTAGTGGGCTAGTATCTTGTGTTCTCCAAATCAAATGTTTTCAAAATTATTTAAAATTTGCAATTTTGATGATGTAAGTAAACATGTTGAAAATTAACACCAATTTCCATCATTGACTTCCTTATATTTACCCTGCGAGTGAAGCACAGGATAATTAGCCATAGTGACCCTTTTTTAACATAGGCGTCTAAACAGGCCGGAAGACAAGGAAATCAACAGCCACCCCATGTACTGTAGAGGGTGCGTTTGACACAATGGTATCTGTTTTTTATTGGACTTAGGATTTTTTATTGCCTCCTTGTTATCTTTTATCTCTTACTACAACAATATAGTCTTACCACAGTCTATATGACAGTGACCCATCGCATGGATTGTATGTTGAGATCCGCCATTCTTTTCAGCTAGAAACGCTTTTGTTACCTGTAATGCCCTAAAAGAAAACACGTGGCTAGAAAAAGTAATAGCTAATTGTTGTTGCTAATTCAGGTTCCGAAGGTCTTTAGTCATCCATTTTGAATCATCTGTTCCTCCTTTGCAAATAATGTACATGCGGGGCCTTCTATAGCCGACTATACGGTTTGGGTTTTTCTAATTGTTGAAGGCCGTACAGTTTCCTATAAATGCTTACATCCACTTCTTTTGAACTTTGGTGGATAGTTGTCTTATTGGCAATCATGCCACATCTCCTTATTTTTGTATGCAGTTATGGAGATAAATTCTTTCTAAACCGATATAAAATTCTTCAGTTGTGCCTGGTAAGTGTTTTTCACAAGTATCTTTCTTGTAAAAAAATGACGAAGAAACAGTACCAAGTTTTGCAAATAATGCTGTTAATTCCATTGATTTGCATAAATCTTCATTTAATAAAATTGAGAAGGGAAATGGGGAATGTGTCAAAGAGACAACAACCCGACCAAAGAGCAGAAAACAGCCGAAGTCCACCAATGGGTCTTCAACACAGCGAGAAAATTCCGCAATACATTTAATAAAGTGCATTTTTATATTTATTTTGAAATTAAAATGGAACTACAAAGAATTGTTTTCAAGTGTTATTGTTCGAGTCTTTACTTCATATGATAATCATAGATATAGGAAGATGTGGTATGAGTGCCAATGAAACAACTCTCCATCCAAGTAACAATTTATAAAAGTAAACCATTATAGGTCAAGGTACGGCCTTCAACACGGAGCATTGGCTCACACCGAACAGCAAGCTATAAAGGGCCCCAAAAATTACTAGTGTAAAACCATTCAAACGGGAAAACCAACGGTCTAATCTATATAAAAACGAGAAACGAGAAACACGTATGAACTACATAAACAGACGACAACTACTGTACATCAGATTCCTGACTTAGGACAGGTGCAAACATTTGCAGCGGGATTAAACGTTTTAATGGTACCAAACCTTCTCCCTTTTCTGAAACAATAGTATAACATCACAACATAGAAAGACACTTAAAGAAAGGCTTAACTCAATCAAAAAAACGTAAATTAACACACAATGAACGAATAAATTCGATCTGTGATACCTGAATGCAAATACATAGTTAATAAAAATTATAAGGGATAAATGATTAAGGTCAAAAGTAAATAAACAGGTTTAAACAAAGTTAACGTATTATACCACTGTGAAATGTTAAACAATGTTTAGAAAATCATCACTTTTGAAAAAACAGGTTTGCTTTTGACGTTTCTGTAGTTAATGTTTACAGACTGAGACCATATAATATATTTAAGCTGAATCTGAAACTTGCATGAAATATGCTATTAAATTTTGTCCAAAAAGTGTAAAACATACACGAACTATGGACTGCCACTAGAAACGTTTAAAGACGAGATTTGAAATACCCTATGAAGGTCTTGGTGGGGATTCATCATTTCGGTATAATATTATATATCTTTATCTAAATATCCAACTATTTTTGTCCTTTATCCTGCACCTTTTGCCCTTTATTCTCTATTTTATAAACCCCATCTATACACCCCCTCAATCGACATCTACAAAATGAGTCTTGATGGTTCATGAACATGGGACGAATTACATGAAATACATGAAAAGTCTGCAACCAGGCTTCAAAATATTATGATACCTTTAAGAGAGGGAGAGACCTGGATACGTGCTGGGTCCAAGTATCACTCAGTAATGCACGCCTTGAATACTTAAAGTTGAAAGGGTGGTCTTACTTACGTCTTTACAGAATCTTCCTTCCGATCAGAACAAATATTGACAGCATGATTAGCTGTAAATAAAGCTTGATATACTCTCTGATTCTGCCTCGGCAAATGCTAGAACGTAAACAAGTTAAATCAAACAAATGATATTTTATTATCTAAAGTTTTCATTGGACCAAGTCATAAGAACAGGAAAATTAAAATACTTCATTACATATATAAGACTTTCCGTAAAACATTGTTCGGTTCATTTGTATGTTTCGGAGTTTAATGTGACGTATATTTTCTCTGAACTAGTATACATTTTTATTTAGGGGCCAGCTAAAGCCTGCCTCCGGGTGCGGGAATTTCTCGCTGTGTTGAAGACCCATTGGTGGCCTTGAGCTGTTTTTTCTCTTCGGTCGAGTTGTTAATGTTAATGTTTTAGTTAACTAGAACGTTACAATGAAACCAATATTAGAAATCTAAGAAATATAAGTCGAGAAAATCGTATCCTTTGGCTACCTTTCGTGTCCTTATTTGCTTAAATTTCTTTAGATATTCTGATCTTTTGTTTTACTTCTTTTGTTTTTTTATAAGTTTCACGCACAATGTTTACAAAATTTATACTAAAAAGGAAAGAGAAAATGTTTGAAAATTTTCCGTAAGCATTACCTTAGCCATGCCTATTATTATTTCAAGATCTTGAACAAGATTATAAATATCTCGGTTGAAAACTGTAATTTCCGCCATGTTAATCTTGAACGTTTTGTTAAAATCTGGAGGATTGATTTGTTCACCACAGCCATCACCTTTCAAGCCAGTAAGCTCCATCTCTAAGAATATCGTATGCCTGAATGTGAACAAAATGGCGTCTTTATGCTTCATGTTTAGAATCAGATGTGCACTATTCGATCGTACTGTTTTTTCCTAATCGATTAAAACAGATTCCAGATCTAAAGGAAAACCTATAGAGTTGTTTTAATTATTAAGTAAAGCATGATAAAAAGTCTTGTCGAACAGCTCATTCGAAGTATACTGTAAGTATATCAAACAAATTCATCGGTTGACACTCGAGTGTATGAACATTTTTTGGATTTACATTATTTAAGTTTGTAAGTACTCAATCATTTCAATATTAAGAATTTCGCTGTGTGAAAACAAATACGAAGACAATGCAAAAATGCAAACATATATCAAATCAAATCAAACCCAAAATTGCACCTTATCAAAAAATAATGGCATTAAAGCTGTAAACAATAGAGATTCACGAGAAAACAAAATGGTTAATACATGTACCATCGACGAATGAAATTTTATAGCATTGTAATGACAACCAGCTCAAGCTAGTGTAATGTTTTGTATACAATGCTATCAGCTACTATACTTCATATTTACTGTTACAGTATTTCAATGCAATCACACACCATCGTTTTGGAGGTTTTATTGATTACAACCATTAATACCTGGACAGTGATAGCCAACATCTGTCAAAATTCATTATTTGAACAAAAGATTTTGATAACTAGTATCTTGAAATGTTTCAATTTTCGCTTACGTTAGCTCAGTTTCTGATAAACACTTGGAAATAATATAATCAGTCCGAATGTATACCTTTGGAACACCAGACAGTCCCTAAAATAGAACATATACAAATCTATAATGAATTAAAATGTCAATTGTTCGTAAACAATTGAAAGGTCATTCCTTTTGATATAATCTGTACATTTGAATAGAATTAGAGTGCATTGAAAAGCTTTAAAACACATAAAACCAAGGGTAATGAAATCGGGGACCAATGACCTTGACAACAGGGTCATAAATACAAAGTTCACTATCTACGACGTGTCCTTTACTTTTGACCTTATAAACTTTGTCAAGGTCATTGGCCCCCGATATCATTACCCTTGGTTTCATAGTTTTAGCTAATAATGTATTTTCGAAAAGCGTCAATGGGAATATGCCCCTTAAGGACAACATAGGCCGTCCCGGATAAAAGTCGGGGAAATTTGGACTGGCACTGAAAAATGAGGGTATATTGGATAGGGACGGCCACCTACGGACCCTTCATAGAGTTGTTGCAAGGGTTCTTAACGTGCAGAGGGCGTGGTACTCTTTCTACACGAGACATCGGATTTGACGTCCCCATTCTAACCGGACGTGGCTGCGTACTTGTACATCCCACACAGCCAATCTGACGCCCCACTTTGAAAAGGGTTTCACTGCCGGTCGGAAGAACACCGACTGACCATATTTCTATTCCCCAGTCACCCTTGGGGATTCTAAATTATTGAAAAACTGAGACAAATTGTATAGATTAACCAAAAATAAGTTGAAAATCCAGAATCACAACAGATGTGTACAGCAAAACCATTATTAAACATTGAATGATATAGTCAACCACGGTTTAGACAAGCAAAATGTACAATCTCAGCATTTAAACAAACTATATTATAAACAGTGTTTTATGTTTTCATTTTGGTTTTATTGGTAAATGCAATTTATGGCGAATCTCTTATATTGTGCTGTCAAAACTATGTTGTAATATTATTAACAGTCTTTCGCGATATAGATCTATTGTTTATACTTTTACCTGTATCATTGGGGCAAATGAAATGTATTATTTTGGCGCAAATGAAATATGAATTGTGGCGCAAATGAATTTCAAATTGGCGCAAAAGCGAAGCTACGAAAAGATATTATTTGCAATTTTTTACCTGAACAGGTATTCCATTTTTCCAAATCATGACTTCTGATCCTGAATTCCACCGTAGTCTGACTTCTTTCCCGATCCATTTAGATGGTAAGGTGATATTGAGCTTGAACCAGTGAATTGACCATCTTCGCATTCCATTAAAATAACGTGATGTTATTAAATGAAAATTTATTAAGCGCGAAAACAACATACTTTCAGTTGCAGAAAATTAAATTAATAATATATGATTTTGAATTCGATCAGAATTCACCTTTTTTTTTGTAATTAAATCATTTGCTTTTCAATTGTATGTTTAATGCAGCTTTTAATTTTTTGTATAATCTTTGAACTCTTTTCAGGATATTTACCAGCTACAGTTACACTAAACAACAACTTCATTGCAAATTATTACATTTTTTATTTTAGGTCTGTTTAGTTTTTTTACATTAGAGATCGAACGAACATACCTATCTAAGGTCAGAAGCCTCGTCAGTAACTGTGGGGTATAAGTTTTTTTATCTAAATGTTTTGTCCTTAGAAGATATGATACTGAGTGACGGCGTAGTTTTTTTTTTACTTCATGCATGTTGTGTTTGTACAGAACATATTTGATTTGGCTAGCGCTGAAATATACCAGTTTAGATCACTTCAGCTAATTACTTAATATTGTAGTATTTCTGATTTTGCTTACATATTGGTCATTTCCCGATTTGTTTATACCGCTTGTCAACCTTCTTCGAAAGTCAGCGGTTTGGCCATAGCAATCTTGTTAACATTGCCATTAAATCTTATAAGGCCATGAAATTGTAAGCATGTTCTGAAAATGGAATTAAGCGAATAATCAATCATACATACAACGGTCTAAATACGTCTCCAATTTTTACATCATCAAAAATTTTGTTTTCGAGATCATTAAATGTTATTCGATCTGCAGGTCCATAATGCTGTATTACATCTAAAGGAATTACGTCTTCGTATATCCTATATATAATAAGAAAAAGAAAACAGATTATAACAAACCAGAAAGAAATTCCATAACACGTCCTAAAAGAACGCACTTAGCTTCAACAATAACTTAAATAATTGAATTGTGTCAGTAAGATTGTGCATGGTACTTTGTCCTCAATTTTTCTAGACATCCATCTTGGCATTATATATCCTTTAGTAACTTTGCACAACGCTATTGTTTGCATATAAATATGCAAATACAGTTATATTTTGAAATTGTTTATAACACCCCAAAGCTGAGTGTGTTTTTCAATGCAGATAGTCTTGATTGACTGGGGTTGCCAATTTGCTCCGTGTTGAAGGCCTCAATGTTTCTTTAAGATGAGGAACATTAATAAAAGCGCTGTTTCTTTGCTATGGTTTTGTCAAGGGCGCATAGGAGTTTTATGTTATGAATCGATACATTCTTGCTTTTATATTATATGTAGATATTTAAGATATCTAGGACAGACAGTTTATATTTAAAATCGTCTTGTTTGACCTGACAGAGATTTCTTACCTTCCGTGCAAATTCACATCCGTATAATTCTTAGGTGAAATGTAATTTTCAACTCTTTTCAAAGTTGTTTCAAAATCTTTAACTCTCGGTACAGCCATTTTAGAAACACATTTTATTGCTACTTTGGAAATTGATAACGCTAAGCTACATGTACTTGTACCTATATGTGTATTTGTTTTGATCCCGACAAGACATGATATCACTTTAAAGTAAACACAAACAAAAACACACTCAAGATAAACAAATACGCGTAATAAGAGAAAAATAAATATTAAATTTTGCCCTTTTATGTATCATAGTCTTGTCATAGTACTCGATAAAATGTTGTAGTAAATGAATCAAACGGAATATTTACTGTCCTTTAACTTCATTGTATTTATATACCCATATGGAGTTATTTTCTTTTTAAAACAATAGGTCTTTCTTTTTGAAGAATCAACCCGGACGATATCAAGTTTCAATGAAATTTGCTACAAGGCATGGAATAATGACCTGTGTAAGGTCATTATTTCCCCTGATTAGAATGCAAACTATAATTGACTTAAACATTTAATTCATTTGATAGTTATCGTGTGTTGTTGCCAATTGGGGCTTTACTTTTAAATTTTCCATCGTTTAAGGCAGAAACAATCCTGTTCTCCGTTTATTAGATGAAATACCAAAAATTGTCGTTGGCGCACATTTCAACTTTCGAATCAAATAATTTGAAGTTTGGTTAATTTATCGCTACAATAAAGGGACATTATGTGAGATGAATTTGATAATGCAAATTTTTTTCATAACCCTTTTAAAACAAGCCAGATTTTACACATTCGTGTGTAGAATTTTGAAAATATTATTGATTCACACTGTATTGGTACATGCATCATAATTTCGTGCTCTCTTCGTTACAGTTCTGAACTTTTTATTTATTTAATAGCAACCACGTACTTTATAAAGGGGTGGGGATAATATTTAACTCTGAAACTCAGTTAAAAAAAATTGTATTGCCAGACAAAAGAGAAAAAACAATTATTCTGAATAGGTCGTTAAAAATTGTTGAAAAAATAATCTGCTTTTCCACGATAGAAATGTTATGAAAAAAAACCATAGCATCCCCCTTTCATAAACTAATTAAGTTGATACAATAAATTACTTACAAAGTGACCTGCATTTTTCATACACCGTAACAATTCATTTAGCACATACTTACAACTTCTCGTCCAATCATGTTGCTTGAATATGCCTTCTAATTTCATTGTTTCGTAATCAAGATATGAAAACAAAAATTGCCATTGGCTATTTTGAAATAACATGCTGTGTTCCAAATTAAATGAAATAGTTTGTAATCAGTTATCACAGTTATAGACAAAGGCGTCTATGTTAGGTGGAATGACATATAAGGTTTACACTAAACTGTATACATCAATGGTAGAGCCAGTTCTTCTTTATGGTAGTGGTATTTGGGGTACTAAATCGTTTAGTGCTATATCGACAATTCAGAACAGGGCCTGTAAATTCTTTTTGTCCGTCGGAAGACGAACGTCTAATTTAGCGTCACGCGGCGATATGGGCTGGACGTCGTGCTTTACAAAACAGCGAACTAACTACTGTAGGCTGTTGTGTAGACTTTTACGCTCTGATCAACATAGA